TAACCTCCTAAATTCTTGCGGGCTTCCTTGCAGTAGTGACACTCAGCAACACTGTTGTTTTAATGGCAGTAAACTTGACTTCTGCAGAAATACTATCTTGAACTTACTTCTTAAGGTTTTTCTTTCTTGAGGATATAAAGAAGTGAAAAAGTTTTGAGAAAATAGTAGAATTTTAATGCCAATATCATCCTAACTAAAAAGCAAAGAAGCACATGACATTGAGAGCTTGAAAGCTTCCTTATAAATTCTCTTGTTAGCAGTTAAAGTGCCTTATATAAGGTTCAAGCTTCTGACATCTTAAACTTTTTTCCCTTAAATTTTGTCTTAAATTTCTTCCATATTCAGAAAAGGGGCATGGAATGTATTTGCTGCTCTTAGTAGCCAATATGGTTTTTGCTAACAGCAATTTTAATTACCTGAAATGAATGCAGTACAACCAAAGGAAACTATTTCACCATCTCCCAACTTAGGAAGTTACGTAATGCTTTGAGATAAAGATGTCATGCAGGGCTTTTTTCTTTTCTTTTTAGTTCATTGAGTTGCTTGCACTGAATTCTCTAGCTTTCTCATAAATTTAATGGGAAAAAATACATTTTGCTCTTTCACTTGTAAAGTCCAGAATAAGAAAACAGACTTTAAGACTTTAATGAAGGAACCTGGCAATGTAAGTATTGTAATTTCCTTTGTTTTTAGTAGGCAACAGGTGACCTTGTTAAACTTATGGTTTATGTATAAAAAAATCAGAAGGGCAAATTAAAAGTAGTTTTATAGTTGCCTTTACTTCACATGCTTTTCTTAAGCAACAAATTGCAGTAATTGAAATTTGGCTCTTTTTTTAATAAAAATCTAAATTATGGATAAAACACCTTGGTTTAATACAATTTGTGTTTCTGTTAACTAGCAGCAGAATTTCAGCATTTGCTACTTACTGGTAGAGAAGAAAAATTCTACAGAACTGCCAGTACAGGTTAGTTTAATCTGTAAGTACCTGATGTTCCTATTTGAAATAATTTGTTCAAATGATACCACTTAAATACCTGAGGGGAATTTTGGTCTCTGAAATATGATTGTTACCTACTACTGATTCCAGTAGTGAGTGAACAGACTAGACTTTTTTGGAAGATCTTTAATTGATTTAACTATGCTTGTGGACAGTTAAACAATATCTGCAAGCACCTTTAAGGAAAATTTAATACAGAATCTTGACAGGGAGCCTTTGATGTTACTGAAGAATGTGGAAATCTGAAGTCAAAATCACTGTGGTGACGTGCCAGTAATTAATGAGGCTGTTTTTTATCAGCAAACCAGCAGAACCCTGTGCTTGTTGTGTTGGGGATTAAGCATTTCTGTTTCTAGGAATCCATAGCAGTTTATAATCTTTCCTTTTCTTTAGCTATTGCTAATTACCCTTTCTTAGCCACAGGTTTTTACTTTGTTAGGCTGGTAAGCCAGGAGGTTGTTCTTATGTGCTTTTTAAATTATTACTTTTGTTAGTTCATTTCAGCACTTCAGATGCTACATACGACCATGGTTTTGTCCAACTGTTTTATCTTACATCAGACTTACTGCTCTGCCTCTACTTTAATTCTGCCCTATTTCATATTCCCAGAAACTCTGGTATTTTATTTCTATTGTATAGAATGTTTTATACCTTAAAATAGGAAGATTCTTTGTGAATGAATAAAAAGATGCAGCTTTCTCTGGAATGGCTGCGCACATTTATTTCTATTTAGACTTTGAATATCTCATCTCTACACATACCCGTAGAAGAGATGAAAACTTTTCCATGCTATAGCATGAAGCAGAGATCCACAGCTGGATGGGCTGTAAGATTGTGCTTTAATTCACTGTTGAGGCCATAATGTTCCACTCTGAATTTGAGGGGCTTTTGACATCACTGGTGGGTAATTACTTAGTTGGTACTGTGAGGGCCATAGTTATGTGGTAGCTGAACAGACACTTCAGTTTCACCAGCTCATCTGAAGGGTTTAGATGGGTTTATGAGTGATTTGCCACTTCCAGCAGAATTGCTTGGTTTAGGGTTTTGAATTCTTAAAGGGTGCTGCAGAATTCATCATAAAAATATACACAGTTTCAAGGCAATTGTATCTTCCAGGTTTTAGAATACTTACTCTTACAGCCCCATTGCCTGCCATCTTCTCTACATAAGTTCTTGGTAATTTACATTCAATTACTTTTGTCTTCAAAATGAGCTGCAGGCAAATTTCTGACTAATGTTGGATAGGTTTTTCTTCCTAGAAGGGGGAAAAAAAGGAAGTCATACATTAATATTTACAATTTAGCTTTATCTCTGCTTAATCTTAATTGCAGGTATGCAAAAATAAAAGGGATACCTTGTTGTGTAGGTATCCCTTTTATTCTTGCATACCCTGTTAACAGAATGTATATGTATTTCTTACACCATCTGCGGTTGACCCTAGCCAATGCTAGCATTAATGCAATGCTCAGTACTGAGTTGGAGTGAGTAACTGCTTTTAGCTGCTCAGTTACCTTATCAAGTCTTGGTTTTGGCAGTGGCTGGATGCAGACCTGCACTACTTGTACACCAGCCTGGCAATCGGTGGGGAACTAAAGGGCAGAGTGTGTTCCATAGTGTCTTAACAAAAAAAAGTGCATTTTTCCAGGATAGATCACAGTAGAACTCTGTGGAAAGTCATCTTGTTGTGAAACTTTAAATGGCAATTACTTATGGTACTTTTTGGTAGAATAAATTTTTTTTTTTTGAGATAGGACCAAAACAAGACTGGGAATTTGGACTTTGATTACCAGGTGAGCAGTGTTAAATTGTAGCTCAACTTCTGACACAGCATTAGAGCAGCTGTCCATTGTAAAGTGGTTCAGCAGTTTTCCCTCCCAGTTCTGGTACTGTGTATTTGGAACAGTTTGTCATTTCCTACTATTTCCTAGACTCCTTGCTGATTCCAAATTGCCTTTTTAGAGTTTCTGGTCACTGTGCAGCAAACTCAAAATGAGTAAACTCCAAGCTGGTTTTAGTACCTTCATAAAAGACCTTTAAGCACATGAGTGAATAGTGTCCCCTCTCGGTAGCAGTATGGCCACAGAAATTAGTGTGTTGTGAAGGGGTTTTCTCTGTAACTTGATTCTGCTTTTGTGTTAAGTGGTATGAAAGGCCTGGGATTACTGATCTTTTTCAAAAGACAGGTGGTGGCAAAATACTGATGTTGAATTTAATTCAAGAAAGAGACTGGTAAGTATGTGCATCACTTTAATGCATGCAAATAATAGTAACAATAACAAGCTTAATTTTATAGCATTCAGTTTACAAAGAAGATGAGAAGAAAATACGGATCTAATATCATTTGCATTCACTGGGAACCCTCTCTGAACTGTTCTTCATATAGCCATCTGTAATGTGTGATCATTTTGTAATAGTCTCTGATTAAACAGAAGTGAACCACTGTTTCTGTGTATTTTTTTTTTCTCCTCTTGAAAACCTGTTTAAATTATTATTGCAACAAATGTTATGGTGAGAGTAACTTGGCACCAACTTTTTGATCCTCTGTAAGCTGCAGAGGCTCATTTGTGTGAGCTCTGACTTAAAGTGGAAGACAATTGAATCCAACTTCTTAACCTGTAACTTCCTTTTGCTGTTGCTCTGCTGTCCTGCTGCTAAGCAGACTATAAAAAGCTATTGAAGTTGGAAGAGTTGGAGTATGGAGGAAAATTTTCTAACAGTGTTTTCATAAAAGTTGGTGGCATGGGCATGCTAGGAGGTGCTCTACTCTAAAGCCTTCTTGAGCAAAGTGCCGGAGAGATGAGGTAGCTTGGGAGGTGGGTATCCTTGCACCTCCTGTGTATGGAATGAGAATGGAATACTGGTTGGTCTTATTTAGACACCACTGTTCACTCAGGTTAATTTCTGAGAGGTGGTGAAGGGAAGATAAACAGATATTCTAATGCTATGACATGGACTAGTTGGAGGCTTTTTGAATTGGGTATGTGTGACAAGGAGCAGTTGAAGTAGAGGACTCTTCAAGTGAACACTGCTGCTGTGCAGAAGTTCTTAATGGGCATTTGTCCTCTGGGCCTTTCAGGTCTCAGGAAATCTCAGAGGCAATTGGGAACTGCTTTGTACTAGTTAGAGCAAGGGCAGCTGTGTGTTGCCTGGCAGGTTAAGCCCCTCCCAAATATGAACATGACTGGTAGGAAGGGTGGGTCTTATTTGCTGCCCTGTGAGCCTCAGCTGGTTGTTCTTGCAATGTGGGACCCCAAGAGTTAATCTGTAAAGTTTACACTTTGTCTCTAAAACTTGTTTCAGTGTAGTAGGGTTTTTTTTCTGTAGGGCTGGGGGTGGATGGAGAGTTTGAATCTAAACTTTTAATTTCTTAAAAGGTAAAAGTGGGCATATATGAAAAGCAAGACCCGCATTTATACCTCAAAGACTCAAACCTGTGCTGTAGTGTGGGCTACAGGGCAAAGCCCTGCTCTGCAGAATCTAGTTGGGTATGCGCAGGCAGTAAACAACACACCCTCCTTGCCAAGCTGGCTGTAAGTTTTCATCCCTGTTTGAAAACAAAGTCTGTTTTTTGGTATTTGAGCAGGTTCTGTATGTGGTGAGCAGTCAATGCTCTGCTTTTCACTCCTGTGCTTTTCAGTAAGTTTACATGTTCTGTTTTTGCTCTGGGTTGAAGCCATCCTAAGACTAGACTGGGGAAGCTGCCTTTGCCCAGTTAACCTTCTCAAACATACTCCTGTCCCCTGCATCAGGTCTGGGGATCAGAGAGGGATTTCTCTGGCCCTTCAGCTCTCTTGCTTCTGGCAATTGTTTCTCCTATCAGACCAGAATGTGAAGGCTTGGACTAGACAATAACCTATCATCTTACTTCTGAATTCACTTGCAGTTCATTTGACAGTTTCTGGCTGCAGATCTTGGCTGCAGTTGGAAAAGCAAATCATACCTAGCTACTGTTGGAAATACATCCTTGGGTAGGGTAATAAAGATCACATAGAAATTGTAGTCCCTCATAAAAGATATTTATTCGATTAAAACAAGTTATATGACAGAGTTTTGGCAATTTTAGTCACAATATGTTACATCAAACAATGTGAAACTGCAACAACACATATTTTTGTTATTAGAAGCTGAATGTGACATCATGGTTGCAAACACAGCCCTGAAAACCTCTTTTGCATTTTTCAAATAATGGATATATGCTCTAGGAAAGTTTCAGTTCTGTATTCTGTGGCATTCCTTGGATGATAATGCAAACTAATTGCAGCAAGTACAGGAATTGTTTGGACTATAAACACAACAGTTCTTACAAATCATCTTTATGTCACCTATGATTCCGCTCGCATACCTTCACCCCACCCCAGATTCAGATATGTCTAGTAAGGAAATATTTACACAGAGAAGCAATGTAGGATTATGCAGAATTTGAGACCTGTTTTTTTATCAGTGTGATTGTGAAGTCAGCTTTAAAATTGCTTCCATACTGACCCTGGTTTTGCAGTCTCTAGGTATTTCATTCATGGTACATGTCAGAGAGCAGTGTATGTGGTATGAGTTCATTTTTCTGTTACTGATTCAGGAAGAAATGGACAAATTATTTTACTGATCAAGACTATGCAAAAATTAACTTAAAATCCTAATCTGTGGGGTAAGAAGAAAGGGATCAATTGCTGTCTTTGGTTTGAAATCTTGTTTTCTGGAACTCCAAAACTATCGAAGGCCTGGCTCAAAGTTCACTCTCGTAGTTCCAATTTTTTTAGTTACTTGGTCGCTATTATAGTTGTTAATTCTGATATTCTTGTTGCCTGGTAGTTACCCAGGGATCCTTTTCAACCTCAATATTGAAAGCAACAAGACCATTAAATGAAAAGCCTAAATAAAAGGTCACATTTTCATTTCCAGCAGGCACTGATTCATGATGGAGTGGCAAGATACGGAGTTCCTTCACGTGACCTCGTATAAATAAATTTCTGTCCTTGGTCCAGCCAGAAACTCTTTTGAGCTTGTCACGAATTTCGGAAATACTCCATACAGTTCCATGCAGCCACTTCATTCTCCTCTCATCTAAGGACCCCACCATTAATTTTTCAATTTTATTTTTGTGCACTATCTTATTTAAGCCATAACCCTTTCCCAGAAAAAAAGGGGTGTAGATTCTTTTCTTTCTGGTAGAAACATTTTTCATTTTGATGTCATATAAGCGTTTCAGGGTTTGAAGGGCTGAAGTTAAAATTTCATCATTCTCGGGATTAGGCTCTTTGTCTAATACCTCATCTGGCCAGTACAGCAAGGTGAGCAGAAAATAGGCACTTGATGGAAATGGTCTTGATGGTCTTTTTATTTTGAATCTTAGACTGAGTTCACGAAGAACTGGCAGTGGAAGGAGTTTGGCTGATCCTGGTGCTAAGCAGGCTAATGTGATGTGGCACAAAATAAAATTGATTAAATCATTGTCCTCCAGCCTGTTCCTCAGTGGCTTTTCTGGATAGAAATCAAGGATCCTTTCTAGCTTTTCAGCTGACCTCTTCTCTTTGTTATCTGTTAAGAATGACAGAATATTGGTGACATTTCCTCCACCACTCCCATAAATACTCATGCGTCTCATGAGCTGAGTGTCAGGACCATTGTTGCTGTCATCATCAAGTGATGCGGAGATGAAGAATTTAGCGTATACTGCTGACTGCCTTCTCAACCATTTTCTGGGATTATGAATTTGTTCTTCCTTATCATTTTCATCATCCTTCTCTTGGTTTTTGTCTGTTTGGAAATAACTTAGTTCTTCTGAAATCCATTCCAGGGCATTGTACAGGTTTTGTTGCAAGCCTTTTAAGCGGGAATGAAGCCTTTCCCATGGTTTTTTTATGACTTCAGGAATGTAATTTGTGGTGAGATATTTCACAAGTTCAGTATGTTCTCCTTCTGGACTTCTGTGGAATACAGGCAGTGTGGACAAAAATCGAAGAAGGCGACAACCTACTTCTACTTCTCCAAAATAGCCAGCGTTGTTCATATTTTCACGTTCTTCCTTTGCTGCTTGTTGTGCAGCTCTGAAGCATTTCATAGCTTCAAGAGCAATCAGTATCTTTTCAGTGATACTTTCCGGGGTGTCCTCTGTCATTTTATCCACAGTGAAATTAAACCATTTCCTGTAGACTTGACCTTCTGTATCCAAAATAAAAGAATCACTTGGCAAATGTGCTTTTGCGACCTCTGCCCAGTATTTAGCATCTTCAAATTTTTCATTGATGTAATTTAGTCTGGCAAGCTGCTGGGCAAAAAAAGCATCTTTTCCAAAGACTTCATATGCAGCTTTTAAAACAGCAATGGCTTTTTCACAGTCTTCAGCTTCACAGACATGTTCAATGAATGGGGAGAAGAGAGTATCAGTATTGTCACCCCTGCTTCTTTTATCGCGTCGAATAAACAGATGTCTGATAAACTTTATGAATTCTTCTCGTCCAAATCTGTTTTCAAAGAGTACCTTTTCCTGAAGAAGAGTTGTTGCAAGTTGACTTAGTGATTGATTCCCTGAAAGCTGATGCAGAATTTCTTTTGCAACCAGGCAATGTATTATCCGAATAGATGAAATATAAGAGGTACTTTCCCTTAGCTCAATAAAAATCATTCTTACTTGTTCACTCAGGTGATGTTTGAAATCATATGCTCTTGCTTTACTCTCTGTATATGCCCCCAGCCCCAGAAAAGCCTCACAGTGTGACAGTGAAATGTATGAATTTGGTACATAGCAGTTGAGCAGGGCAATGTAACGCATCAAGCAGGTGTCACGAGAGGAAGGGTCAATGCCTTGCAGTATGTGCTCTACCATATCAGACACGTACGTTTTATTGAACTCCTCACACATCAGCACAAATGTAAGTATGAATTCTGGCTCATCATACTTCTGCTGCAGTTTTACAAGTTTGGTGTTAAAGAGACTTTTCTCTGACTTTGTCAGTTTGTGACTCACAGCAACTGTGTCCAGGGGTGAAGCCTTGCAAAGCCTTTCAGGATCATTGCATCGTCTACAGCATATGAGGATGAAATAAGGCCTGGAGGTATTCATTTTCCTGGTTCCTACAGCTTCCATTAAGTCAGTCTGTAGGTCATCAAAGTACTCATCATCGTAATCTTCGAGCAAGAGCAGCACAGGAAAACAGTGAGTGATTTCCTTTTCTTCATAATCTCTAAGGGCAAGCACATGATTACAAACAGTTGAGTGTGAATATGAGGTCTTGATAACAGCACATCTAAAACGCTTTCTGTTTTTCCACAGAATTTGCCGTGCTATTGTGCTTCCGCCACTTCCAGGATGGTGAAATATCTTTAATTTAGCCACAGAATAATTGCGTCCACTTCCTCGTAAAATGCCATCCAAGAGTTTGCTTGCCTCCGCGCATGCTTCACGTTCAATGATATCCCCACAGAGTTTCTTATCAGCAAGCCACAAGTTTTCCCACTTGATTTTTCCCCCACGGTAAAAATTTTGTTCTATTTCTTGTTTTTCTTTTTCAGGCCAAAGATTATATTTGATATCATCACATTGGTCAGTACAAAGGATTTCTAGAGAATACAGTTTCTCTTCTTCCCGCAAGGGAAACATACACACACCTCCAGTGGAAGTTGGCAGGTGTCTGGGTTGGGCTGTAGAAGGCAGCTTTGATCTGATGGTGGCATCTACATGACTGAGCTTCATACCCACAATACTGCATTGTTCTAGTGTCTCAATGCTGCAGGATTCCTGAGCTAGACTGGCCCACTTTCTGTAATTTTCTTTGGATTCTGCAATGCAGATGATGTACTCCATGCCATTCATCTCTGTATAGAATTCCTGAAAAGTGTCCACAAGTGGTTTCTGCACTGGTGATAGCAATAGAAAAAGCACAATGAAAGAGCGCTCCGGCAGAATTTCCTCACAGATACAAGTAATTACTTTCTTCAGGTATTTTTTTTTGGTTCTAATCCACTTATTCTCATCACAAGGCTCTTCATCCCCAAGGAAGTCACTCCGCCCATTGCAGAATATCCAGCTGGTCTGATCAAACAGTTTCTGAGAGGGAGAATTATCAGTCTTAATTTCTTTGAAAAAATCCTGTAAAAAATAAGAACTTGTTTCATGGTGCTCTTTGTATTTGCTATACAGCCCTGACACATTAGAATGTTCATCAAAGTCAAAGACACAGAAAATGTTCAAGTGCATTAAGAAGTTGATGTAGTTCAGATTATCCTGTTCACATCTGTTTGTGACAAGGATGTACCGTAGGGAATCATCCATGTAGGTTTTGCCATCATTTAATAGAATTGATAACTTTCTTCCTAAATCTTGAGCTATTTCTGTAGATTCTTGTGTGCTGGAGAGCTCAGCTCTTTCTCTCTGAGCATCCCTGTCTGGCGTGGCTTGAATGAAAGCAGTGAGTTTGTTGCGCTGCACAGATTCAGACTTTGCTCCCAATCTCTGGTAGAGGGCTGGTTCTTTGGTCAGGGTCACCTTCTGACTGTCTTCATTGTATTTTGGCAAATAAACTTCAAAACAATTGTTCTTTACCAAGCTGAATGTTGGTTCAATGTCAACCTCCACTACAAATCTTTGTTCCTGAGAGTCTTTTGAAATCACTTCGACAAACACAGGTGGGTGAATACATTTCTTTGCAATTTCTTGTAAATTATTGCAGAAGCACTTTTCTATATAATAATCCAGTGCATCAACAAAGTCTTCTCGGTTTTTGATCTTTATGCCAACGATCTGTCCGTGTTTCCAGCCCTTGTCCTCAACACTGTCCATGACACCAAAATGGATGGTGCCATTTGTTCGAATGTTCATGCAAGCCGAAGCAAATCGTATCACTTCAGAGGCAAATTTTGATTGCAGTTGATGTTTGTTCAGTTCTGCAGCAGTGTTACAAGATTTGTATTCATGGCAAGGAATGATTAAATCACTGACCCCTGATTCTGGAGCAAGAACTGTGTCTTTCACATACCTGAAATCAGTATCCTGACTTCTAAAAGGCCGACAGTTTCTTATGTCTAAAACTTCATCAGCACTTTGAAGCTGGGATGTCTTGTTTCTTTTTTGCTTCTTGCCAGAAGTAGGAGCTGTGTTCTCGCTGCTGGTTGTACCCACAGCACCTGAGCTGCTTCCACTCGCCGTGCCCTGAGCAGGGGCATTGCTGTCTCTGGCTGGGCCTTTTTGTGCATCTGTTCTGTTGGGTTTTTTGCTGCTGGAGTCCTCAGCTTGCTGTGCATTGTCCTGGAGCCGCAGAAGTTCATTTCTCTTGTGGATTAAAATCTGGATTTGGCCTTTCTTCATTCCTATATCTTTGAGGAAAGACTCATCCAGTTCCATTAGTGCTGGACCTGTCACTTCTTCTTCATGTAGTTTATCTACATACTCCTTCTTGATTCCAGTAGATTCCAGCCAACATTTGACATGGTCCTCAACCCATTCACTCACAGGTAATCTTTTGTAATCTAGAAGTTAAAATCATATATTACTAATACAAACTAATGTTTGTTTGGCCACAGTGTTAGAATATCTTTCTACCAGTGACAGTGAGAGAGCAGGTCTTAACTTCACAAATATGTCATTTCTGATGACAAAGTATCCATAACCTTAATCAGAAGTAGTTCTAAACAATGGTGCAAGACTAATAAATCAGCAAAGCAGGAAACTAGGAAGGAGACTTGGAAATGATCCTCAAAGGGAGTCAAGAAAATAACCCAAAATGATTCTTGCAGGGAATGATAAGGTTTATGGGAATTGACAGGGCTGGATTCCCTAAACTAGACAGGTTTGTATGGATCATTTACCCACTTGAGTCTGATTATTTTCTCCTAAATGAGGATTGCATCAATAAATACAAACCTTAAGATGACAGCAGTACTGACTGCTCCCCGCTAGAGAGAAATCCTCAGTATGCAGATATTAAAAAGCAAATTGCTACATACAAAGTAGAAATTTTCTGAAAGCAATACATACCCATTGTCTTTGGTGAAGGAAATCCTGATGTTAATGAACAAAACCCTAGAGGGGGGGAAAAAGTAAGTCTTCAGAGTTATAGTTCAAGTTCCAGTGATAGTTTAAGCTGACTTTGGTGTTCTATTTTCTCAACTTCCTCCCCACCTTTTTGTCCAAGGTCATTTCTGTACCTCTAAAAGCCTGTTTTTGCCAGCTGTGCTGCTTCCATGTGAAGGCAGCTGCTCCTGCCTCCGACACACACGTGGGTGTGAAAGAAATAGGGGGTTGCTGTACCGTGTTGTGCTGACAGCTGAGCCCTACAGTTCCTTCTGGTTACATACTGGAGAAAAGGAGGCCCCCACCACTATCTATGAGGTTCTATCTGTGATAAATGGATATGATTCATGCTAACTAAATTGTAACTATATCAATATTTTAGAAAATAATTGTTATAAAATAAAAAGGGAAAGTATATGTGATTAGTGTTACAAAGCAGATGGATTTCTTTGCAGATGTTACATGTGAAAAACAGGATGCAGGATGTATTTATTGAGACAAGCAAGACCCTAAAACAGAATCAGCCTTGGGACAAAGTTGGAATGACTGCCAAAGCAGAATTGGCCTTGGGATGAGCAAAGCTGGGACAATTCCAGATATGGAATCTAAAGTAGTGGTCTTATCTATGAAATAATAAGGCTTATTTGGAACATAATGCTTACTTTACATAACACAAAGCTTAATGCACATGCACAGCGTGCCAGGTTATTCAGAGGACAGCGAGGAAGACTCTGATTCTTCCTCTGAAAAGACCACCAAAAATCCAGAAGACCCCTTAGCAACAAGTGGAGCATGTGCTATGCACTATAGTGGCATAGATTTCAAGAATTGAAAATAGGAGCTATATGGAAAATTACTGATGAATATTAGCACACAGTATATAAGGTTCACTTTGGATTGCTTTGTTTCATACGTGAGGCAGGGTGAGAAACCCTCCCGTACCCCGGTAGGTTTTGTTTATGCTTTATACGAACCTTAATCATACTTAATCAACCACTGCCAAATTTGTGTTTATGCCAGATTATTCATTTATACAAAATTGCTGTTCAGTTAAAATTGCTGCTAAATTCAGTTTTGTTCTTAATATTTAGTTAGACATACAGAAATTCATTCATACTTTTTACTCCTTTTTCTCACTTTCCCTGCCTTTTGGTCCTTCACACTTGCTTTTTCCCTCTTTTTTGGTGAGTACACTCTTCCCTGCTCCTTCTCTTTTCCCACATCTGTTCTGGTGCTTACCAGAATTTCCAAGGAGCAGTTTGACTCACTGCCCAAGCCAGCAGAAAGTTTTGTGGTTAGTGCGGTGTCCTCCCTGAGTCATGACATCCTTCCTGTGCCCAGCCTCCATTCCAGTGGTTCAGAGATGGGTGGCAGCATGGACAGCCTGTTCCGTAGTGCAGGAGAAATGTGTTAAATACACCTGCTCAGAGTGACGTTCACAGCAGTAACCATCATCGGGATCACAGTAAAAGGTGAGCTGTGGCGGTGTTAGTGTTTCTTCTCTTAAGGTATTGTGGAGGCTCAACTCTCTGGTTCAGCTGGTGCAGGAGCTCAGCCAGCTGCACCCCTGCAGCTCGTGGTGCCAAACGTTGCTCTCAGCAAGTGCAAAAGGAGCAGCCACCAGTGCAGCTGGTCGAGGCCTCCACATTATCTGCAGGTGGTGACTGGGGGAAGAAGAGTTCACTGCTCAGGACCAAGGCTTGGCAGGAGATGGGTTCAGCAGGAAGGGAGTGGTTGGGGAGACAGCTGGTTCGGGAAGAATAGAGTATGCTGAAAAAAGGCCAGCAAGTGCACGTTAACCCTTTCTGCATCTGGTCACCCCCGTGGCAGCCTTGGCTGAGGCACCAGCATGGCTGGAGCTTTGCTATGGGCAGACTGGCTCAAAGAGGGGAGCCTGTTACGGGACTGTTGTGATGTGCTGTAGGTAAAAGGCATCCCTCAGAGTAAGTGTAAACAGGCTGGTTATGAAAATGGTGGGAGATGGATTTCCACTGACACTTGGTGCAGCATTTCCCGAGAAAGGGAGCTAAAAATGTCCCTGAAGTACTGATCTTTAGTGCCTTTGGCCACCTCCCAGGTCTGGGTTTGCACAGTGGACCCGTCCCGCCCTTGTCTCTGCCCCAATCCGCTGTGACAGCTGACGTCAGGAAAGCGTTTCAGAACAGGGAGCCTTGCCGGGGAATCGAAACTGGAACGGAGCTGAGCAGGGCTGGGGCAGCACGGCTGGAGGGGCCCGCGGGTCCCCGGTCCCTCCCGGTTCTCTGAGCAGTCGGGGTTTGTGCTGCAGTGGGCTCTGGGTGCCCCAGCGTGCAGCCCGGGGTGCGGGCAGGGCTGTCCGCGCCCCGCTCCCACCTCTGCGAGCCGCCCACGCAGCCCCGCGGAGCGCTGCCCAGCAGCTCCAGCCCAGCGGGGCGGCGGGGAGCAGAGCTGGCCGGCAAGGGGAGGGACAGCCTCACTTTTAAAGCCGATCCCAGAAGCGTAACCCGCCCGGCTGAGAACGACCCCGCGGGCGGCAGCGCACCGAGGGCTTACCTTGCAGAGCCCGCGGATGGCCGAGGCTCTCCAGTGCTGCCCGCAGGGAAAGGTTTCCAGACGAGGAAGAGAGGGAAGGGGCTCCAACACCTGTGGTGCCCTCCTGCACGGGCAGCAGTCTGAGCACTGTGGGTGTTCTGCAGCTCCACCTGCTCTCTTGAAATTTATTCCGGGAATGGGGAAACTACTTTAGACAAATATGTCTGGTGAGTTATCAAGTCTCCACCCCCTCCCCAGCAGCGCTGCTGCTGGGTGGTGCTGCTGATACAAAACCAGTAGCCTTACCCCACTAAAACCAGCTGTCAGGATGGGGTGTGGGAAATACTTATTCTTTGTTTTGTATTTTAAATTTTCAGATCCATCTAACTTACTGCCCCCTATATGAGCTACCTACTTATCCAGGCCCCCTTACCAAGTAGCGGAGAGGTTGGCAGGTGTGAAAAATACATATTTTATGATTGGCTTTTCGCAAATGCTACAATGAATATTATATGTGTAATGTTAGAAAGTTATGCTGTATTAATTCTCTTAAGTAGTGTGTTAAATAGAGTTTTAGGTTACAACATAATGTTAAAATAGAAACTCTGCGATGCAGGATTTTTTTACTAGCTCAAGCAAGAGATGAAATAATCAAGAAATTCTTTGCACAGAGATGGCAGCGACTTGGGGCCCATAGTTACTGCCTCCTTATCAGAAAAGACAAACATTCTTCCAGCTTCTCTCCATCTTTATGGAACCACCAGGATGAAGAAGTTGACAAAAACCAGAAAAGTTCTTAATTTGCAAGGAATTTATGCATCATGTATGAGATATATGAATATGCAACAGGCTATTGCTTTTAAGGTTATTCCTTTGTTCACAAGGCATGCTTTTTGTGACTTAGCGTTCGAGAGCATCCAGACGTCCATAATTCTTTGGTTTTTTTATTATCTTTTTATTGTCTTGTAATTGTCCTAACTCTAAATTTTCTTACTCTAATTGTATTATTATTTTTATAAGCATTTTATTATTATTCAGCTTTTAAAATTTTTAAAAACCAAGTGATTGGCGTTTTTCACAGCATGGTCAAGAGGCTCCCCAGCCCAGCCCTCTGTGCCACTGGGGCTTAGGAAGGCTGGGCTGCAGCGGAACTGTCTTAGTGTCTTTCCTGTAAATCACGTGCTCAGTATCAGCTCAGTTTCACCAAAACCATTTATTTATGGGTATTTCTTTATCGCACAGAAACACAAAGTCCTGCCATTTTATCTCACATGTGCACTTGCCTCAGCCACCAGGTTGGAGAGGGCTGGTGCCTGGGGACTGTCAGAGTAACAAACGAGGTTCTTGGGCCTTCAGGGAGGCTCCCCCCTACCTGAACAACTCCTGCATCCTCTGTTGGATCAACAGGCAGGGAATGGTTGGAGCAGGCTCAAGAATGGGCACGTGTCCCTTCCCGAGGGAGGCAGGACCAGGCTGCTGCAGGCCTTGGCCCCTTCCCTGCTCAGTCCTGCCAGCTCCAGGCCTCCTGGGTTCCCTGGGCAGACATAGGCACTAAAAGCTGTGGGGTTTTAATCTGAGTCTTTATTTAGTAGATTTATAAAAGACCTTTTACATGAGGAATACAAAAATATGAAATAGGCTTTGAATCTTTTTAGGTAAAATTACCATTGTTTTTTCAAGCTTTAGAACATGTAACCTGCACAGTTTGGCATCTGTGGTAAATTGCTCTCACACATTGTAAAAGTAGGAAAAAAACATCCTGTAAAGTATCTCCAGAAAAATAGCTGTACATACCCCATCATACATAGGGTATTACTAGCAATAATTTATTTAAGACACAATGGCACAGTCATACAAATTCTCACTTTCTAATTTCTCCTTTAATTAATTCCATTGAAAGATGCAGTATCACTTTCCTCTTTCACTTGTTATCTGATGATTAAATATAAACACAAAACTGATTAAGACTGATTTGGCATGCTTCATACTTGTACCATGTGGATTTGATACCACGTTGTAGTAAAAATTAAATAAATATAAATACATTAAATAAATATATTGTAAAAGAACACCCAGTTACATTAGAATTCAGCATTTCTTCATCCTAGCAGAAGTGACACTTTGTCACAGCTTCAGGGCCCATGTAAAGAAATACTGCACCTTTAACCACACAGGCTCCCGTGGATGGAATCACCAGCCCACACACAGACGAAATGGGGTTCTACAGCTCTGTGGCACCCCTTAAACACTGCCCTGATTTCACTGCTCTGAACAGCTCTTGGTTCCTGTTTAGCTCTTTTTCCTAGGACTCATCTCATCCCTGGCTCTGTGGCTGTGGCCTTTTCTTAGCCCTCGAAGGACATTTGCAGTTGGTGAGTCACAGGCAGCTCCAGCTGCCATTGGTGTTTGCTGCAGGTACTTGAGCAGATCATGAGTTAAGTGGAGGATTGTTCAACCTGTTTTGTGAATACTGCTTCGTATTAAACAACAAGGCTTATTTTCAGAGTAGGAAAACCTTGAATTGATGTTTCAAGTCAATATTTTTTAAAACTGCTTCTGCTCAAGTATAGGGGACTAACTTTCCAGAGCAGTACTGGTTAAACAGAAATGGTACTTTCATACCATTTTTTGGATAATCATGAACGATTCCCTTTACAATCACTGTGGTGTGCCTAATGTGGCAGCAGTGCAATGGCAGGTTCAGATAATTTGCGACAACCAAAGGGCTCCTTTTGCACATCCCAGTCCCAAGTAATTATGTTATTTCAATCACTGAAGTTTTTGTAGTAAAACACATCCATTACAAAATCACGTACAGTACAGGGATATTGGGTGACGGTTATATCCAGCTTTTGCTCTTCATTTCCACAGTCTTGAAAACTGCCTTGGAGTCAGTAACTCCATCCCCAGGGTTCATTGCTTTACCACTCGCGCCCTGAACTCCACCATCTCCTGATCCAGCACAGCCACAGGTACAAGGCACTTTTTGCAAGCTTGGTTTCTTCAGGGAGAGAGAATTCAGCTCTTTGATCCCACTTTTCCCTGCTAAGGGTAGGCCTGTGCTTGGAATGTTGGTCCCAGAGAAGAAAGTTCCATCCCTCTCCTCTCAAACCGTGTCTCCTGTTAGGCTCAGCTCTGCAGAGTCCTCGGCATAGTAATGCTGGAAGAGTCTTTCTTGGCAGCAGATGTGCATAGCGTGGTAGGTGTGCAGGAGCAGGCGAGGGAAACGAGCTGTGAAGTAACACACAAAATCATCTGGGATGGAGCCCAGGGTTTCCTGCACTTCAGGAGGCAGTTCCCTGTAATGGTGCTTCTGTGGAGGAAAACAGAAGAGGGAAAAGGGAAAAGCTCAGTCAGAGAGTGTTTGTCAGACACCTCTTGTAAACAGACACCTCTTGTTGGTGTTCCTGGACACAGTAACCCTTACTGGGCTCTTGTAAAGGAGCTCAATAACTAAATCAGGGTCTGATACAAGCTGGCAACAACAGCAGCCAGCGGCAGGAACCCAGAGTGCACAAGGAAAAGACTCCTTTACCTTATTTCTCATCGCCCTCAGAAGGTCCCGGACAGAGCCACCTTTATAGGATCTGAATTTTCGAAGATCTGCAAGAGAAACAAATTTTTGTGTTGTGATGCAGTTTTAGGTGCTGGGGTGTATGGCTGCAGCCACAGATCCTTGTAGGTGTGTTTCAGGACAAACACGTACTTGCATTTGAAGAAACGCTTTACTGACAAGTAACAATGATGTGCCAAAACTGAAAGAGTGTCAGCCTTATTTTCCTGTCCCAGCAAACTGGGAACAGCAGGTGATTCCCACTCTGACAAAATGCTGTCCATTACCTGTCTGAAGAGGAACAGTGATGTGCTCTCTCCAGTCCATTTTCACCACTTCTCTTCCACCTCTTTCTAACTGCTTGACTATTGGACCGTCTAAAGATTCTTTCTCTATCCGGTCACTAACATCCTGGAAGAGATATTCAGATTATTTCTAGTTTTATTTCCAAGTTTTTCCCAATATTTTCCAATTGCTGCTTCTGGCCCATTAGAGCCTGTCCTGGTAGTAAAGTTAGAATCCCACTTCATTCCATGACAGTGCTTTGGAATAGGATACAGAAGCCTCTGCCAAAGCCTTTTTAGCACAGAGGAGAAGATAAGGCTGGAAAGGAACTCAAGCTCTCAGCCACTTCCAACCCCACATCAGGATTCAGTGGTTGTTCACTCCTGCTCTTGAAAACCCTCCTGGCCACGCTCTCTGTGGATACTGCAGCTGCTAGAGGAGACCTTCCTCCCACCAGCTGACCTTGGTAACAGCTCTGGCTCCCTCTGAAAGATGTGCTGTAAGACTAAGCTAATTGGTCAGGAACTGCACCCAGGTTTTACAACTGGGCTGTCTCTTCACAGTAAGGCTGTGAATTCTATTACCTCAGGCACAAAAGAGACACTGAATTCAAGACCTGTACCAGTCTACGGGAGCCCTGAAAACCGAGAGGAAAGGTCACCACAAACCTGAAAGAACTGTAGCTGTTTTTCTAGACTCCAAAAGAAGGGGTGTTTGAGCACACAACTGGCAGATGGCCGTTTCTGAGGGTCCATGTTTATCATCTGCTCTATTAAATCACGAGCAACAATGTCTTCTGTAAGGAAGAGTGTACAGGAAAATTATTTTATTTTCTCTATGTTCTTAGACTGTAGTGAAAAGTAAAATTATGTGATTTTATAATATTTTGTACTTCAGAAATTCATTATGGCCTCTACTTCCTCCTGTCCTGCTAGTTCAAGAGTTTCCCTCACAGATGTGCTGGGCAACCAACAGAAAGACTATCAAAGACTAAGAATATCAAAGTTCAGCTCTCTCTTCCTTTAAACACAGGAAATAACTTCACAGTCAAGACTGCAGAGTTGCTCTGGGGTACTAACTCCAAGAACTTTAGACCCTT